TAGGTTTGCGACGCATCTCAATTTTTGCGATCGGTAGTTTTCTTGTTGTCATGGCAACTGTTTCATGTATTGATCTTTTTTATCACTCGGCATTCGTTGGCGGTGTCCGAAGGTTTCACATCATTCAGCAGCACATCACTGTGGGACGAATTTGACAGTGAATAGGTTCGTTGTCTCCGGTGGCACCATCATATCCGGAATACATGCTCTTCATGCGCCTTACTCTTAATAGGAGTTTTCATTGGCCGATTATTCACCTCTTTGATTAAGAAAAACACCGGTAATCATGTGCTACAACACTGACCGAATCACACCATTCTTTATGTAGTGCACACAGTCCGAAGACGATACTGTTTCAAGGGGCATCGTCAGTGTTGGTCAAGTATATGCCCTGTTAAGCTTCTCGGTTGATGATCCCGTAGCCTGTCAAATGATTGATCAGAGACTGCCTGATATGGTTGAGTGTTGTAAACGGTGGTGCTTGCCTAACCGTGGATTTTCTAAGCTCATCTGATTTACCAACACGTATCTTGTATCTTGTCACTACTCTCAGCGTTTTACTTCCTACTACTCCTGTGTTCCTTCGTCGAATGACTGGATAGCCAAATGATAACAATGAACATCAGCTCGAAGAAGGGTAAGGTTAATGATTGTGCAAAAGTGCCTGAATGTGCGGCCCGCCATCATCATCATCCTACTTTCTGAATTCTTGTTTGGCGACCTTCAGTCAACCGCAACCCTCCTTCCTGATTATACCTTTGTTGAATATAAAACAAAAAGTTTATTTTATTCATTCCGTGTCGTTTCCGTTCTCCATTCATTTCTCCTTCGCGGGCAACAAATCAGCAAGGTGCAACAGTCGTACCCCAAAGGACTTAGCATCCATCACCAAACAGAGTCAGTTTAGTCCGTCCAAAATATCCAGTATAACAACCTCACGCGCATCATCGTGTACACGTTCTGTGTCGACTTTTTATATTGCTTGTACCTGTTTCTATAATGTAATCGAATCTGTCAAACTATCATTCTCCTCCGATGGGCATGTGCTTCGCCAATGTGTATATTGGGTTATCCAAATCATGCACTGCATTCTCATACACAAACCTTTGCCATTCTCACAATCCCTTTGTGCGGTCCCCTGTCCAGTTATGCGTACACACAGAGTTGCAACATTTTGGTGTTATTCGTGAACTTGTGCATGCGTGTGCGCCCACAATTTATCTAGCTATGCGTGTTGTGTCTTCACCCAAAAGCGTGGCTCATAGCATATTCCTTGCCCCTCACTGCCTGCGTTTGGTTTGTGCGATATTTATGTGTGATTGTGGTCTGGTTATTTTCTTTTTCAAAACAGTGATTTATTTTATGTGATTCAGAGAATACGAAAGCTGTTAATCAACTAGTTGAATATTTGTACCGGTTTCGAGAACACTATATCAGCTCTGGACTATCTTGAAGGTTCCCCACCACCGGGAATTCCTAAACAAGGACATTTTCTATGATCTGATCAGTTTTCCTTCTTTACAACCGCTCACCGTGCACCGTCTTGCGATGCTTTTAGTTGCTATCTTTCAGTTACCCATTTGAGTGATCAATGGAGAAAGAGTAGATTAAAGAATGAAAAAAAGTGAAAGCAATCAAGATTAAAAATATATAGAGTGCAAGTGAACTAAAAATGGTTAACTAATGAGCAGATACACGAACGCCACCGTTTACACAGCACTCAGTTATAAACGGAAGCAAGCCATTCCTGAGATTAATTTCAAAAGAAAAGACCATATTGCAATACTGCACGAATTATGTCCAGGATGATTTCGCTGCATCTCGAAATGGTGCATACTGCAGAAAATGCAGTGTTTATATAGGGCTTGAGCATAGTAACAAAGTAAAGCAAAATAATTAAAGNGGGGGGGGGGGGTAAAAGGACCATGTAACCAGGACAGGCTAACATAAAGTTCTTTTCGTTGGGGGGGGGCTCCATTACGAACCCCCCCACGACTACTTGCCTCTCTTTTTAATGAGATATCTGTGGAACTCAATGAATATAAAAAATCGCTTTATTTCCTCACATTCAGCAGGATCACTTTTATTACATACCTTAGTGTGGTGAACAACAGACGGGGTAAACCCTATAGTCACGAGGACTTACCGTTTAGTGATGGAAACCGGTAACCTAAGTCCCGGGACTTGTAGTGATGAACCACATCAGGCTCCGACGGGTTAGGCGTGGTATTGAACCGGACGACAGCCAAGCTGCCTACCATTAAAGTTGGGTGACGGTTGCGGACCGTAGGGCCCAAAGCACGCCGGTGAAAATGAATAAACCACTGCGCCACTAACACCCATCTTCTTTGCACATTCCGCTACAAATCAGAAACCCTAACACATTACATTAGTGGAAGCCGTGATCGTTTTCCGCCCACATGTTCTCTAACCAATTATTACTTTTATTACCCAGATCAGGAAACATGAACACCACAAGCTACACTGTCATCACCTACATGATCCGATTCGAGTTGCTTTATTAGCATCATAGGATGGTGGGAGAATGTTTGGACGATATTCCATGAGAACTAATATCTTCAGTCAAACCTGTTTTTTTGTTCACTCATTGGTCGTACTTGCCATGTCTTCTAAGCAATCAAGTATAGACTGAGGGGCAAATGATCAGACACTTTTGATTGAATAGTAGTGTAGCTGTTTGATAGGTGCTTCATATCGCTGAACATACAACTGTGCAGTCGATTTTCATGAAGGGGGTTGCTGCCAAACAAAGGCGGTAGGGGTGCAGTGGTTTAGTTGCTTTCACCGGCGTGGTTTAGACCTTTTGATTCGAGATTCGAACCCCGCCACCCTACCTTGGTGCCAGGCAGTTTTGCTGTCGTCCGGTTTACTACCACGCCTAACCTAGTGGAATATTGTGTGGTTCGCCGCTCCAAGTCCCGGAGCTTAGGGTACCGGCTTCTATCACTGAACAGCAGGTCTTCGCGACTACGGGGTCCGTCCCATCTGCTGTTCATCACACAAGAGGTGTGTTATCGTGCGGTGTATTACGTTGGAATGCTACTGAATCATTCTAATTGACTACTTTTGGTAAAGAATGTACAGTGCCAAGTCTAACTAACACTTGTGTTTCAAGCTATACAATTATGTCTTTCCGATTCCCTTGGGATGAACGAATCCGATTTGCTTTTGCATATTCCATTTGATCCATTCACACAATTAGATAAGTTTTGTGATAAATGCCGCGACAATTAGTGTGGGTGGTAAGGGCGGTCACACCATACTCGAGTGCAATCGTCTAAAACCTCATTACCAATGGAGTTCTCTGCTTAAGTTCCGCCGGATTTTCTTGGATTTAGTACCGCATAATTTCCTCAATTTAAAACTTGTTTATTTCAACCTGCCTCACTGTTGAAACTCACGTTATTCTGTGGGGCTCTATAGTGCATGACTCCTAGAAAACTATTCTGAATATATATATATATATATATATATATAATACCGATTCGACGCCAAGGCAATTATAAGAACAGAACAAAGAGAAATTGGTTTCGGGTGAGGGTGTAGCAAAATATTGTTTTTTACTGCACACAGTTTTGAATTTTTTAGATTGCAACATGCGTACACATCTGTATTCATTTCAGCTTCAGTCTGAATGTTTGGAGCTCCGGCTGGGAAACCCTGACAAAAGCCAGATCCAAGCACAGTCTCGCCAATCGGCTACGCTACGTCATAGCTCACCCTTTGCAGTATCTTCAAATAACTCACGGTATGACAGACATTCATAGGATGTCCCAGCCACCTCAGACGGTGCTGCAAAATGATCCTTCTTAAGATCGTCTAACCTCGTCGTTACTCACGCGGTACTGTTATCATACGCGGACGAAACTACAGTTTTTACAACCATTAACCATTTACTTTCGTGCGCCGGTTTTGGTTACTGTTTCTTGGCAGCCCATTTGGATAAAAGAGTAAAGGGATGAATGGAATGTTGCGAGCAGGGTCAAACAGAAGATAGAGACTCTACATAGATCAAGGTTGCAAAGAAAATTAGTAGATGCACGAGCGCCACTGTTTGCGACACTCGTCCATATCACTGAGTGCCTCTAACCACCGGTTACCATGATCTCGGAGTCCCCATCCAGGGAGCCCAACGCAGCCTATGTGACCCAGTTTCCTGTTTAGGGGTTTTACACCTTCATGCCAAGTCCTAGTTTGATCGCCCTTGATCTTTTTCCATTCTCTATCTACCTAGGCAAATATCGCGCGCCGTGGCGACTTATTTGATGACATGCGCAACACATGTCCCAACCACTGTAGTCTGTTGGGATCAATTACTTGCTCCTGTTGACGACAGTGATTAATTAAATCTCTGCGCCTAATCTTAGCATTACTCGTCCGTTTTCCTCACCAAACTCGTGCAGTGCGATGTAGACAGCAGTTTTCGAACACCGACAATCTATTTTTATCCTGTTCCCGTAGTGACCAAGTCTCTGCCCCTTAGAGCAGGATTGTCCGAACTGTTGCAGCAGACATAACCCTTCGCAGACAACCGAATGTCGCAACAGATGACTCAAATTGGAAAGTCTCAATCGAGACTTCTGTATGCTTGCCGACACAGCATATGTGGCGCATCCACCTGATAAGATATAGCTGTCCAGACAGTAAAATTTGTCCACTTCCTCTACTACTTCTCCGGTTATAGGCAGGTTAGGGGTTGGGCCAATCCAACCTTGTAAAATTTTACGCTTTGAAGGTGCAAAACGCCTACCGAACATGGTTACATTGGCAACCAAACTATCCAGAAACGCTCACAACTTACCTGAATCTTCACTTAGCAGTACAATGTCGTCTGCATACTCCAAATCAAACAGTCTACCCACTGATGGGTTCTGGTTGGTTGATCGTACTAGTTGAACACTGGGTGATGCAAACAGAATGCGTCTCCTAAGATTTGTTAGTAAGTGAATGAGCTGGACAGATAAGGGAGAATTTTCCAAATGGGTACCGGAGACGTTGAAGCGCAACGTACTTCGCGGTAGTGATTGTGAATCTCTTGTGAATTGGCGGTTCATTTCAGTTCAGTCTGTACAACCATTAAGCATGCATCTTCGTGCGCCGGTTTTAGTCGCTGCCTTTCGGCTGCCGATTTGGATGAACATTAGGAGAAAGACAGGAAAGGTTGAAAGTAGGACCGGAGAGAAAATTGAGAACTCCAGTAAATTATGGCTGCAAAGAAATTGAGAAAATGCACGAACGCCACTGTTTACGACACTCAGCCATATCACTCAGTGTCTCTAACCATCGGTTACGATCATCCCGAGGTCCCCAGCCAGGGAGTCTAACGGGACCTAGTGATCCAGACTCCAGGTTAGGGTTTTCATACCCTCATGCCAGGTCTTAGCTTTATCACCCTGGGCTTTATTCCACCCACTACCTACCTCGGCAAACACCGCTCGCCGTGGCAACCTATTTGGTGACATGTGTAACATGTGTACCCTAACCAACGTAATCTCTGGAGGTCGACCACTTGCTCCAGTGGGCCAACGAATTTACCTAAAACTGGCGGAAAATCCCAAAGATCGCTTGTGGATCAAGCTAGCCAGTGGTACACACCTAATACAGCATGGTTCCCGATACTTTGCGGG